ACTGTAATGATGTGCATTAAAGTGAGTTTTCATTTGTGACTGATTTCATAGTTGTATGTCACGAAGACTTATAAATGCCTTAGAAATTACTACTGTGGTTTATCGTAGAGAAGGGTAAAGGATAAATTCTGCTAACATAAGAATTATCATGCAGAGGATACACCCCTATTTTTTTCAGTGGCCTCAGATAACAATATAAGGGAGAGAAGAAATACTCCACATGTTTAATGACAAGATGTGGGCAAAGCACCTTTCAAGGATCTGTGGTCCTGTGACTCAAAAAATGCTTAAGTTTAATACATGTAATTTTTTCCCAGTTTTATTGAGATATTATTGACGTACAGCATATGTAAGTTTAAGGTGTACACATGACTTGATACACATATACACTGAGAAATGACTACTACAATAAGGTTAACTCTATCCTGTCACATAATTACCTTTTGGTGTGGTAATAACTTTTAAGATCTCCTCTCTTAACAGCTTTCAAGTATATAATACAGCATTGTTAATTACAGTCACAATGCTGTACATTAGACCCCTAGAACTTATTCATTTTATAGCTGGACATTTGTATCTCCCCATTTCCCCACCTCCTGTCCTAGCCCCGGGCAACCACCATTCTACTCTTATCTTTGAGTTCAGCTCTTTTAGATTCTTAATGAGTGAGAACATACAGTGCTTGTCTGACTCATTTCATTTAGCATAATGCCCTTAAGGTCCATCCATGTTGTTGTAAAAGATGGGAATTCCTTTTTTATGGCTGAATAATATTCCATTGTGTATGTGTATGGTAATGATTTGTGATGTTGAACACCTTATCAAGTACCTTTTGGCCCGTTCGTATGTCTTTGGAAAAATGTATGTTCAAGTCCTGTGCCCACTTTTCTTGCTATTGATTTGTATGAGTTCCTGATGTATTTTGGCTCTTAACCCCTTATCAGATAGTTTGCAAACATTTTCTCCCATTGGGTTGCCTCTTCATTTTGCTGGTTTCCTTTGCTGTGCAGAAGCTTTTTAGTTTGATGTAGTCCCAGTTGTTTATTTTCCTCTTGTTGCTTGTGCTTTTGGTGTCATAGCCAAAAAATTGTTGCCAAGACCAATGTCAAGGAACTTTCCCCCTACGTTTTCCTCCAGCAGTTCTAGTTTTGGGTCTTAAACATTTAAGTCTTTACTCCTTTTCAAGCTAATTTTTATGAGTGGTGTAAGATATTTTATTCTTCTGTGCGGGGTTATCCAGTTTCCCCAACACCACTTACTGACAAGACTGTCCTTCCCTCATTGAGTCTTCTTGGCTCCCTTGTCGATATTAGTTGACTGTGTATGTGTGGGTTTATTTCTGGGCCCTCGATTTTGTTCCACTGGCCTGTGTGTCTATTTTTAATGTCAGTACCATACTGTTTTGGTTACTATGACTTTGTAATAAAGCTTAGAATCAGGAATTGTGCCTCCAGCTTTTGTTCTTCTTTCTCATGATTTTTTTTTTGGGGGGGGGCGCTATTCAGGGTCTTCTCTGGTTCTATACAAATTTGAGTTTTTTCTTCTGTGAAAAATGCAATTGGAATTTTGATAGGGATGGCATTGAATCTATAGATGGTAAAATGCTTCTATGATGTGATTAAACCTAAAATGGGATCCAAGAACAGTGTTGGCTGCAGTCTCCTGCAAGATTAGACATGTTTGGCTCAGTTCTACATTGCCTATCTCCATAATTTAGTTGCGACTTCCATCAGAACTGTAGTTGGTTATTTTTACCTCATTCTAGGTTTGAAAAAGAGTATTTATCCATAGTTCCACTGCAGTGAATTTGGGAACATCAGAGGTTTTCTACCTTCCCACAGTATGGCATGAAACAATGAGACAGCATTCAACTTTCCTCATGGCTGTAGGGGAAAAACTGGACTTGGGCCAAAGGAAAGTAGCTCCCTTTCCTCACCAGTTTGCTTGGCTCACATGAGTATACAATCATACAGCTTTGGAGGTTTCTTCCCTCTCATTTCTGTTGATACTTCACTGTACGGGCAAACCTCAATTTATTGTGCTTTGCAGATATTGCTTTTTTTTTTTTTTTTTTTTTAAAAATTGAAAGGTTTGTCACAGCACTGGTTCAAGAAGAAGCTGTCTGATATTAGGTCAGGACTGTGGAAGGGGAGATAGTATCCTATGATCAGAAACATGTATGTATAATGGAATCACTTTGCTATACACCTGAAACTAACACAATATTGTAAATCAACTATACTGCAATTTTTTTTTAAAAAAGTGATACAAGACACAAGACGTTCTCGTATTTTTGTTTTTGCAGATTTTTTTTTTTTTTTTTTTTTTTTTTAACAAATTGAAGGTTTGTGGCAACCCTGCATCAAGTAAGTCTATCAGTGCCATTTCCCCAGCAGCATTATTTTAAAATTAAGGTCTGTACACTTTTTTTAAAAAAAATAATGCTATTGCACATTTAATAGACTACAGTATAAACATAATTTTTATATGCACTGGGAAATGAAAAAATTCATGTGACTTGCTTTATTGTGATAATGCGCTTTATTGTTGTAGTCTGGAACCAAATCAGCAATATCCCCAAGGTATGTCTACAGTTTGGAAAAGCCAACTTCTGCCTTTATAGGACAACGGTGAGGCCCAAAGGCTTCAAGCTCTCCAGGGGTCAAGACGACAAATAGTTGTTACCATTACTTAAAAAGAAATGGACGATACGCCTCAAGTCCCTTCCCCAGCTCCTGATCCCTGGTGCTCACACACGATGTTAAGGTAAGGCAGAAGCCACTTACTGGTGATGGGTTTTGGGGAAAGTTAATTGCTGTACCTCAGTTTCCTCATCCAGCGCCTTGACTGTGGCCCTGTGGAGAGATGCCCCTGAACCAGGAGCGCCCAGCTAAGCCACACCAGATTTCTGACCCACAGAAGCAGTGAGATAATAAGTGTTTGCTATTTTAAGCCACTAAATTTTGGGCTAATTTGCTACACAGCAATAGATATACTACTTTGCAGAAGGATCAAAAGAAATAAGAAAATCAGGTCCCTCCTCACTATTTTTAATGGTTTTTCAATTACTATTTAATCATTAGGCGTTTGTTGGGCTTATGAGTAGAAATTTTTCTAAATGTCAGTCTCTTCCCCAGATCGGTGTGAATAGTCAGTGGGCTGCATTTCCGAATAACAAAGCCACTATGGGTGGTATAATTCTAGCGCTAACAGCAGGTTCCACCATTTCCTCTGGGTCTTCTATTCACCAACCTGGTTTGGTATCCAAATACCTGAACTCTAGGTAGAGTTATTCATAACTGCTCTCTCCTAATACTTGGGAGGATCAGCTCTAGATTTCTCTGCTCTAACAAATGATTCTTTGCTTCTTCCTCTCTCTGGCTTCTGCCATGAAGTAGGTGGTAATGACAATTAAAACCGTCATCATTTCTTATTTCCTGCACATCAGTTTATGGGCTATTTGCCTCTTTAGTAACCACCTCTCAAGCACCTCTCACTGATCCCCTGGGATTAATCAAGCCCTTAACAGAAATCCAACTTGGACAAATCCAAGTCGTTCCTGGACGTATCATTGTTGGAACATTTAAGTAAAATAACCATTTTGATTTTTCTTTCTATTTCATACTGCTTTTGCATTTTTCAAGATGTTAAGAAAACTTTAAAAAACTTGATTTCTCTCGTTTTATTAGGAAGTATGCCTACATGTGCTGCATATTTACAATTCTCCTACTAAAAACAAAACTAAAATTTCATAACCATGGCATGTCCGAAGTTCATTTTGTAGACGCACCCTGGGCCCCTCGATTGGAATGACCTGCACATTGGGAAACAGAACGGTTGAACCATTCCTGGGCTCAAGGCTGGCACAGTTGGAGGTGGCAAAAATGAAGTTGGCTTTTTCCTCCTCTAGTGAAGAACTGCTTCCCACTGACACGTCCATTCCAGGGACGGAACTGCCAGCCAACTCGCCACGAAACCTGAGGAAGTAATTCTATGGTGTTACAGTTCTTGGGCCGCTAAAGCCCTTTGTGATGCTTTGCTGCTGGCCAGGCTGGACTGACCTCCGACTGAATTTCAACTGGTCCGAAAAGACGGTAAGTGTCTACTTCCACTGCTGGCCAGTTCTAAGACTTGTATGCTACTCCCCACATTTTAATACTTGCAAAATTGGCATGTGTGTTACAACTGATGCTATCTCAGAGTTGATGTAATCTGGTAAATACCTGTTTTAAGCAATTCCATTATTGCAGACACAGGCATCTATCTGAGTTTACTGCTCAGCGGAATGCGGAGAATCCTGATCATCTGTGGGAGAGGCAGTGGTGAGCAGAGGTTGTGGGTGGAGCCTGAGATGCTGGTTCAGGCCGTCCCCCAGAAGGTCAAGGTCAAGGTCAGTGTCAGCGCTCTGTGCTGGTGTTTCTCGTACTCACACAGCTCAGATGAAGTTAAGCACCCGTTCGTACAAATTAAGAAATATACTAATGCACATACCAAACTAAAATTTGCTGTGGTGTTTTCTAAGTTCAGTCCTGCATATTTTCATGTTCTTTCAGATACTAAATGGCTATATATAAATTGTAGGTTTATCAGAACACAGCTACTTCTATAAAAAGTAAGTTTTATTAACAAAATGAGCTCACATTGTAAAATACAGATAGATGGGTTCATTTTGCTAATTTTGGGGGATCACCTTTCTTATCAGGTACAGCACTGTAGACAGTAAAACAAACTCAAAGACTAGTTCCCCTGCCCAAGGCCTGTGAAACCATGAAAAACAGGTCACAAGTCCTCATCTTTTTACCTCTCCTTCCACTATTAACCTCCTGGAAAGCTGCTGTAGCTCTCAGCCTTCTCCTCGGCTTGTTGCTTCACCTGGCCTGGCTACCTGAGAGAGGCAGGACTGGGAAGAAGACGAGGCTGAAGGTTAAAGGAAAAGCTCTTGCCTGAAACAGTGCCAAGAAGCCAGGCCGGGAGATTCTGGCTGTAACTCCTGAGAATGTTGCTCAAGCCAGAGACCACCACCACAGACACCTGCCAGGCTGCATGGCCTTCCTCTGCTGGGTGCTGGGCAGCCACAGGGAAGGACTGCAGAGGGCCTCAGGGAAGTGGAGATGGCTTTTGTGTTCCACTCAGAACTTCTGTAGGAATTTGAGGACAAGGTCCCGCAGCCGTACCCTGAGCAGCTCGTCATTGTCGCAGATGATATGAGTCGAATCTTCCTCGATCTGGATGAGTGTCTCAGCTTCCTGTAGCAGGACAATATGGCCCTTGGCTGTGTCTTCCACCTTAATATCACTGAAGCCATGCTGCTCCAAAAGAAAAGGGACAGGAGGATGGTGGGTGCTCTGAAAAGCCGGAGGATATTTCAGCAACTGAGTTCTAAAATCACGCTTCCTAGAATTGGCTAAACAACATACTAGAAACTGGCATTTTGGACACTCAGTACAATTCTACAGACTAATCACAGGACCAGCTACAGCAACAGAATTCAAACTGAAGCCCCTAAACATGCAAAAATCTCATGCAAAACACAGCAGAATTCCTACAACCTGCTTAAGCTTTTATCTGAGGAGCACATCTAAGCACCTGAGTTCAGGAGCCTGGGATGCCAGGCTGTTCCATACCAGCCTCCATACCACGCCTGTGGTCCCTGGTAAAACTCCATCCTGTCCCAGAAGACAGATAAGGCAGCATATCAAATACTTCTCCAGGGCCACCTCCAATGCTAATTCAGAATTTTCTTACACATCAGATGTCAAGTTGAGAAAGAAGAAAAGAAATGGAAAGAGGACTAATTTGCCTGAAAAGGACACAGGCTAATTTGCCTGAAAAGGACACAGGCTAGGTAAATGAACGTGACCTAGGGAGATTCTCCACACTTGGCTCTGGAAATCTCACATGTAGTTTGGGGCAGCCATGGATATTCCTCCTGCAAAGGAGGTGGGGCAGAAATGGTGGGGGGAGTAGCTAGGGTCGGGGCCTAGGGGTCAACCCCCGAGCACCCAGGCAGAAGAGCTAAACAAAGTCTTTCTGGGAAAGAAAGTCAAGCGTGAGTCCCGTCAGCAGGGCCGGGGGCGCAGCACGGTCGGGAGGAAGCTGGTATTGGTGTGATCACGGCACATGGGGCTCCCTGGGGTAATTCCCACGGGGTGTCCCCAGGTCACTAGGGGCCAGGAGAGCCACACAACTCGGGGAAAGCCCTCCCTTCAGGGAAAATTAAACGACTACTGAAGAAAACAATTCCCAATAAAGAGAAAGCTTTTAAGATTTGAAAGAACTCAGCGACTGAGTTATTTAGTTTGGACAAAAGGCAGTAACTAGTTTAACAGAAGAAAGTCTCTTTTCCTGTAATGATCTACTATAGTTGCAGTTGTTCTTGCAAGAAGCAACACGAATAATATTATCTTTAGCCAATTCCTCCTCTTTTCTATCAAGGATTCTATAATTCTGATGCCAAAACAGGGATCTCTGAAGTCCTGTGACAAAAGCCAGAATTACAAAATCTTTTCAGGTTAAACTTTTTTCTTTTTACTTGTAGTCATGGAATCTGTGCCTTGCGGGGAGCAGCCAGCAGGGACAAGGGGCGGGATGGCCGCTGAGCCAGTGCAGGCACCACCATCCTCCACAATGGACTGCCTGCTTCTCTCTCCTCCCACCCGGTCTGGGAATCGCTGGCTCTGCTTCCTGAGTGCCCTGCGGATCTGGCATCAGTGGACCCCTGTGTCCCCCAGTCTCGCCCGAGACTCGTATCTCCTCTGACCTGGCCATGCTAGCTCTGACAGCAAGGGGGTCTTCTCATAGGAAAGTGGGGCTCTAGAGGGGGCAGACCCTTCTTTCTCCTGGCCATCCCCCTGCCCCATCTGTCACAGCTACATCCTCGAAGAAAGAAAGGCCCCTCCTTGGTCTGGTTCCCACGAGAAGTGGGGGTGGGGGGAAGCCTGGTGCTGGGGGGAAGGGGGGCCCGCTCTCCTCTAAGTCTCCGCGACCCTCGTCTGGTTCTGTCCCCGCCATGACCGAGGAGCAAGCAGATGCTGCAGGGCCAGCAGCGCAGACAGTGGAGACAGCGAACAGCAGCAGCACGCGCTCCCGGGAGCGGGGCTGCGGTGCCTCAGACGGCGCACCCCACCCGCTCACCTTCTCCAGCGTCTGCACGAACTGCTCCACGGGGATGGAGCCGCTCAGCAGAGGCTTCAAAACCTTGCAGTCTGGAATATCGTCACTGGCCCGCTTTCTCTTCTTGCCACCTGTGGGCTGGGCAGGCCTGGGCGGGGGCTGGGTGGGAGGAAAACAGGGATCTCGTCAAGGAGTCACCCGGGAGCCCGAGTGAAGCTACCCGGCCCGCGAGACCTGCTTCCTGGAAGGGCCCTGGGCCTGCATTCGGGGTCACCATCAGCTGGGGCTCCAGCTGGATTTCCCCATAATGCACACAAGCTAAAGCCAACTATCCACATAGAATTAACACCTTATTCGGCAAAGATATCTTCCTTTTATCAAAATCTATTCTTAATTTTCAGTTGACTGAACTCAGTGCTGTCTGCGTAAGGTCTTCATAACCAGTGTCGGTTATGAAGGGGCAGCAGCTCCGAAAACACTGACTGTGGGGTCAGGCTGACTGGCTACAGTCCTTCTGTCAAGAAAATGAAGGGCAGAGAGACTGCCTCTAAGACAGTGATAGTAAAGAGAACTTTGTGAGGATTAAATAAGACAACACCCGGTAGGGCCCTGGCCCGGGGTCCAGCGCACTTTAAGTGGCCGCTATGGGCACGTGATGCAGAGGAACAAGAGTGACACAGCCCAACCCTGAAGGGGGTTTTTCTCGGGGTGGGGGTGAAGACAAGGTCCCAAAGAACTGCCCCCAAGGCGCACACGTGCCATGAAGTGAGGCGCGAGGCGCCGGGGGGAGGGCCCCCACCTGCACGGGGTTCTTCCCACAGGTCCGCTGTATCTCAGGGCCCTCGCCCTCCCCAACAATACCTGGAGAATGTGCTTGTTATCTTTAGTGTGCAGCACGGCCGAGACGGTTGCCAAGGAAACTCCAGGCTTGATCTCCATGGGTACCAGTGAGTCCGCAAGCTGGGAGCAAACAGAGGGGTTTCAGTTAGGCTCCCTGTAAACTGGGGGGATGAGGGTGCTGCCACCGTGCTGTGCAGAGGCAGGGGCTAGGAGGCCACACTGGGCAGCAGTGCCACCCCTGTGCACGGCCCAGTATTGGATGGTGATGCCAAGGGTCAGGGTCACCCTGGCCAGCAGGCCCGCAGCACCATGTGCCCCTGCCAGTCTGGTGGAACGGTACCAGACGTCAAATGTCAAAACAGTCTTTAGTGATCACCATTATTCATTTTCTTTTGAATTTTTATTTACATCACTGCAGTCTAAAATGACCAAATAACTTTAAGAAGTAAAAAAACTTACACACACACACACACACACACACACACACACACACACACACACACACACACACACACACACACACACACACACACGGTTTCTCCTTACTCAAAATATACACCAAGTGCTGACTTTCACCTCTCCAGGGGACTAGTGACAGGCAGGAAGGGTAGGGACAGCAGCATTTGGACTGAGTGAGCTGTCTGATTCCTGGGAATCTGACTTCTCCCAAAGGTGAAGTACACAGCTTTTACCTGTGGGCCATCTCTTTCTCTAACACCGGAGTCTGATGTGTACCCGTTCTCCTCTGCAGCTTCAGAGTCCCCTGACCCAGCCACCAGCAGTGACATGTGATCTTACAAGAGGCCCTGACACTCGAGTTTAGTTCACTACTGTTCTTGAACACATGCAGACCTCAACCTATCCAAGCCTCCTTTATATAAAAAAAATATGCAAGATGCCATTTATGTAAACATGAAGATCAGTATCAAATGGGCAGAGGAAGCAGGTGAGGGTATTTGAGATGACTGGCAAACGGATGTGAAGACTATTTCATAAACCAAAAAACGGGGGGTTGGGGGGGTGGCCAAGATGGCAGAGCAGGAAGACCCTGAGCTCACCTCCTCCATGGGCACTCCACAATTACAACTGCAGATACAGCAACCATGGATGAGAATGATCAGAAGACTAGCAGAAAATAATCTTCCACAACTAGAGATACGAAGGAGTCACAATGAGAAGGAGTGGGGCAGAGACACGGTAGAGTCAAGACCCACACACAAGACCCCACCTACCAGTGTTCCTGTGGTAGTCAGCTCTACCACAATGGAAGGGCCCATGCAGCCCTCAAAGGGGGTGACCCTAGAGCATATATCTGGTGACCAGAGGGGTGTGTGCTGCTGGGCCCCACAGGACGTCTCCTACAAAAGTCCAGTTCTCCAAGATTGGGAAATGTAACCAACCTACCTAACACACAGAAATAAAAACAGAATTAGGCAAAATGAGGAGACTGAGGAATATGTTACAAACAAAGGAATAAGATAAAACCCCAGAAGAACTGAGCAAAGGGGAGACAGGCAATAGACCTGCTAAGTTCAAGGTAATGATCATAAAGATGCTCAATGAACTTGGGAGAAGAATGGATGGAACACAGTGAGACGTTAGAAGTTTTTAATAAAGTGTTAGAAAATAGAAAGAAGAACCAGAGCTGAAGAACACAGTAACTGAAACAAAAAATACACTGGAAGGAATCAAGAGTAGAACAGTTGACACAAAGGAACAGATCAGCACACTTAGAAGACAGAGTAGTAGAAATCACCCAATCTAAACAGAAAAAAGAAAAGAGAAAAGAAAATCGTTTAAGAGACTTCTGGGACAATATCAAGTGCACTAACGTTCACATAATAGGGAACTTAAAAGGAGAACAGAGAAAGGGGCAGAGAACTGTTTGAAGAGATAATAACCGAAAACTTCCCTAACCTGGGAAATGAACAGACATGCAGGCCCAGAGAGTCCCAAATAAGATGAACCCAAAGAGGTCCACACCAAGACATACTGTAATTGAAATGGCAAAAATTAAAGATAAAGAGTCTTAAAAGCAGCAAGGGAAAAGCAACTAGTTACATACAAAGGAACTCCCATAAGACCATTAGCTAACTTTCCCAAAAGTATTACAAAAGCAGCCAGAAAATAATTAAGAAAATGGCAATAAGTACATACCTATAAAATAATGATTTTAAATGTGAATGGGCTGAATTTGCCACTCAAAAGACACAGAGTACTGAATGGATTAAAAAATAAGGCCCATCTACATGTGGCCTACAAAGGACTCATTTCAGAAATAAGGAGAGACACAGACTGAAGGTGAAGGGATGGAAAGAGATATTCTATGAAATGAAAAGCTATACTCAGACAAAATAGACTTTAAAACAAAGACTGTAATAAAAGGGGCATTACATAATGATAAATAGGTCAATCCAGCAAGAACATGTAACATAAATGTATATACACCTAACACAGAAGCACCAAGATCTATAAAGCAAACATTAATGGACTTAAAAGGAGAAACCGAAAGCAATACAATAATATTAAGAGACTTTTAACACCCCACTCACATCACTGAATAGATCATCTAGACATAAAATCAATAAGGAAACGCCTAGAAATGACACATTAGACCAAATGGTGCATATATATATATATATATATATATATATATATATATATATATAAAACATTCCAGCCCAAAGCAGCAGAATATACATTCTTTTCAAGTGCACATGGAATATTCTCCATGACAGATCACATGATGCTAGGCCACTAAACAAGTCTCAGTAGATTTAAGAAGACTGAAATCATATCAAGCATCTTTTCCAACCACACTATGAAACTAGAAATCAACTACATGAAAAAAACTTCAAAAAACACAAAACACGGAGGCGAAGCAATATGCTCCTAAACAACCAGTGCATCAATGAAGAAACCAAAGAAGAATTTCAAAAATACCTGGAGACAAATAAAAATGTAAACACAACGATTCAAAATCTATGGGAAGCAGCAAAGGCAGTTCTAAGGGAAGCTTACAGTGAAACAAGCCTACCTCAGGAAACAAGAAAAATCTCAAACAAGCTAATCTTATCCCTACAGGAACTAGAAAAGGAAAAAACAAAACCCAAAGTTAGCAGAGGAAATTCTAAAGCAATGAAACTAAGAGCTACTTCTTTGAAAAGAAAAACAAAATTGATACACCTTTAGTCAGAATCATCAAGAGAAGAGAGAGAGGGACCAAACAAATAAAACCAGAAACGAAAGAGGGGAAGTTAAAACTGACACCACAGAAACACAAAGGATCATAAAGAGATTACTATGAACAATTACAGGCCAATAAAATGGATAAATTGCTAGAAATGTACAATCTCCTAAGACTAAATAAGGAAGAAATAGAAAATATGAACAGACCAATTACCAGTAATGAAACTGAATCAGTAATAACAAGCAAAAGTCCAGAACCAGCTGGCTTCGCTGGTGAATTCTACCAAAAATTTAAACCAGAGTTAACACTTATTCTTCTCAAACCTTTCCAAAACTGAAGAGGAAGGAATGCCTCCAAACTCATTCTACAAGACCAGCATCACCCTGATACCCAAACCAGACAGAGACAGCACACAAAAAAGAAAATCTCAGGCCAATGTCACTGATGAACATAGATGAAAAAAGTCTCAACAAAATATTAGCAAACCACATTCAACAATACATTAAAAGGATCATATACCACGATCAAGTGGGATTTAGCCCAGGGATGCAAGAATGGTTCAATATTCATGAAACAGTCAACATGATACACCACATTAACAAGCAGAAGAATAAAAATCACATGATCATCTTAATAGACTCAGAAAAAGCTTTGGACCAAATTCAACATCCAATCATGATAAAAACTCATAAGAAAGTGGGTATACAGGGAACATACTAAATATAGGGCACATATATGTGCCATATATGACAAGCACACAGCTAACATCATACTCAATGGTGAAAAGCTGAAAGCATTTCCTCTAGGATAAGGAACAATACAAGGATGCCCACTCTTGACACTGTTATTCAACGTAGTACTGGAAGTCCTAGCTACAGCAATCAAAAAAGAAAAAGAAATAAAAGGAATCCAAATCGGAAAGGAAGAAGTAAAACTGTCACTGTTGGCAGATGACATGATACTATATATAGAAAACCTTAAAGACACAACCAAACTATTAGAATAAATGAATTCAGTAAGGTTGCAGGATACAAAATCACTATACAGAAATCTGCTGCATTTCCATACACTATCAACAAACTATCTGAAAGAGGAATTAGGAAAACAATCCCATTTACAACTGCATCAAAAAGAATAAAACACCATGGAATAAATCTAACCAAGGAGGTAAAAGACCTATACTTGTTAAATTCTAAGACACTGATTAAAGAAATTGATGACAACAGAAACAAATGGAAAGATATACTGTGCTCATGGATTGGAAGAATATTGTTAAAATAACCATACTTCCCAAGGCAATCTATAGATTCAATGCAAACTCTATAAAAATACCAATGGCATTTTTTTACAGAACTAGAATAATTCTAAAGTTTATATGGAAACGCAAAAAACACCAAATAGCCAAATCAATCTTGAGAAAGAAGAACAAAGCCCAAGGTATCACACTCTCTGAGTTTCAACTATACTACAAAGCTACAGTAATTAAAACAAAATGACAGGGGCTTCCCTGGTGGTGCAGTGGCTGGGAGTCTGCCTGCTGATGCAGGGGACGTGTGTTTGTGCCCCGGTCCGGGAGGATCCCGCATGCTACGGAGCGGCTGGGCCCGTGAGCCATGGCCGCTGGGCCTGCGCGTCCGGAGCCTGTGCTCTGCAATGGGAGGGGCCATGACAGTGGGAGGCCCGTGTACTGCATAAAAACAAAAAAGCCCAAAAAAACCCAAAATGGCATTGGCACAAAAACAGACATATAGGTTAATGGAACAGAATAGAGAGCCCAGAAATAAACACATGCTTATATGGTCATTTAATCTATGATAAAGGAGGCAAGAATATACAATGGGGAAAAGACAGCCTCTTCAATAAATGTTATTGGGAAAACTGAACAACCACATGCAAAAGTCTCATGTCTTACACCACATAAAAAATAAAC